CTTATTCATTCTCGGGGGTTTGTAGATTACTTGGGGTTTTTCCATATAATCATGTCATCTGCAAATATGAACAGTTTCATTTCTTCGTTTGCTAACCTCTATTTCCTTTACTTGACTATTGTACCGGCTAGAATTTCCAGAACTAGATCTAAAAAGAGTTGTGAAAATGGACATCGTTGCTTCCTTTCCCGTCACACAGGAAACAGGCCCAGCATTCCACCAGGAGAACAATGTTAGTTGCAGCTTTTTTTCTAGACTCTGTATCAGGTTGAGGAAATCTGTGTTCTTGTTTTCTGAGGGGTTTTGATAAGGAATGAGTGCTGAAATTTGTCGGATGTTTTAGCCATCAGTTGATAAGATTGTGTGGTTTTCCTCTGTACCCTGTTACTATGACGTGTTATAGTGGCTTCAGATCACCGTCTCGCACTCGTAGTCATGTTCAGTTTTTCCATTTCCAGAAAATGGACCGAAGCATCGTGTCTGCCTCAGAATCTCAGAATCTCAGAATGGAGGAGAGGAGATTGTGGAGTGGCCATCTCCCCTGGGGGGGCGATTTCTCGCTTCCTGTCTCTCTGTCTCTGTGGCGAGCACATGTGCCCTATAGCAAAAACCTCTCAAAAAAATAAATAAATAAATAGAGACAAAGTCTTACTTTTCCATTGTTAATCTGAGTCTGTTAATCATTATTTAAATCGTTTAAAATGTTTAAACTCTTACTATTGTTGTTATTAAGAGAGAGTGCATTTTGAGAACAAGTTTGTACATGCATGCTTTCTCTAAACCCACTAGTCAAGAGGGTTCAGCTGATGAGTCACCCGTTACAGGGAGATCCATTTTTAAGTAATAACCAACCTTGATCCCACTTTTGTCATTGGAATGGGAGGTGGAAATTACTAAGTTATCTTGGACTATCATTTTTTAAGAAAAGTTCATTTTTTTTTATGAGTGACAGAAACAGAGAGAGACACACAAAGAGATTCAGAGAGAGGAAGAGACACAGAGAGAGGCAGAGCGAGGGAGACAGCACCCCAACAGAGCCTCCATGCTACACAGTGTCCCCAGCCTTCAGCCTTTTTTTTGTAGATCTAGTACTGGAAATTCATGCTCCTGGATCATGGGCAGACACGAGCCTAAGGAGCTCAGGGAAGTCTCCAGACATGAACCGGGAACCTTCCTGTGGAACTGCCTTGCAGAGTGCTGTGTTTTACCGTTACGCCGCCAGCAGACCCCGTACCATCAGTTTTTAAAAAAGTTGAAGGGCGTTTTGGATGGTGAATGCTTTGAGGGGCTGGAAGAAATACCCTTACAGTTTACTTTGTAGGCCTCTAAAGAGATGGAAAACTTCACTAATTATTTATAAAATTAAACGTGGTAGCAATGTTTTCTTTCCTTTCCTTTTCTTCTTTTCTTTTCCTTTAATATCCTTATCCAAATGCGGTGAATAGGCATAGGGCTGATCATTTGGAAGCAGGTTTAAGATGCTGGTGTGTGTTAGTGACCCATCTCTGCGCTCACTCTTGCCCTCACCACAGATGGCTCTAGCCTTTGGGATTCTTCCTGCGTACTCCTCTGGTCCCCACTGCTGACCCTCTACCCTCATCTGCTTTGACGTGGCAACAACAGCTCTCGGCTGCGGCAGCCTCCGTGTGTACTCTGGCAGCTGCCAGGCATTTGAATCTTCTTCTGGGAGGAAATAGTGTGAATTTCAATGAATACAGCAAACTAAATTGTTATAATCACTGAGACTGTTTGGATTACAAACTCTCCACTTGACTCAAATGAGGAAAAAACATTGTCAAATGGAAGATTAGTCCAAATACACTGCTTGTGATTAGTATCTTATTTTTTCCAGGCAGTTTTTACGCCTCTTTTAAGCTGTCATTCCCTGTGCGTTTTAGACACATGTGAGAGAGTTTAGGTCAGTTGGGTCTTTTCCATTTCTGACTCAATTTTCTATTCCTTCTGCTTTCAACCCTGCCAAGAAATAGTTCTCAGTGGATTTCATTTCATCTCCTCTGGCCCGTGGCTTAATGGCTTCTGCAGGGTCATGATCGGTGTGTTTTCCCACTTGCACACCATCGACTGCAATGTGAGGAATGGGCATTTGATGCCCTAGGAATTGCTTTTTTTATTATATAACTTTTTTTTTAAAAAAAAGAAAAGTTCATTCATTTAGTTTTTCTATGACAGAAAGTGAGAATAAGAATGTGTGAGAGAGAGAAACAGGCACTGCCCACAGAGTCCACATGGCACCCCCCAGCCCTCAGCCTAGCCAGCCTGGATTATGGACACATCCAGCACAGTGTTCAGGGAGGACTTGGGACACCAGCCCAGGGCCTTCCATGTGGGTCCAGCTGTGCCAGGGCTGTGCCACTCTCTGACTCCTGTTGTAAACAAATACTCTCCTGCAGCCAAGTATTATATCCAGCAAGGAACTTGGCAATGCCAAGTGCTTTTCTCATATTTTATTCTTTCATTTCTTCTGTTGTTTGTTTGTTTGTTTGTTTTTGTTATTGTTGTTGTTGCTTGTCTGTTTGCTTTTGCTTTAGAGTTGTGTGAGCTCACCAGAGAAAGACAGAGTGGAAGGAGTGAAATATCACCTCCCAGGGGGGCATTGCCACATTACAGTCCCTTCTCCTTAATTCTCTTCTTGAGATTTTGGGCTCATACACACACACACACACATCTGGCATGTTTTTCAAGCCATGAGGTCCAGGACTCAAATTGGGCAGTTGGCCATGTGGGGTCCAGTACCTTAACTTCTACCCCACCTGCTGGCCCTTAGTCTGTCTTTCACATATCACAGAATATGATATATTTTCAATATTAAACTTATTTAAATGCTGCTTGCAAGTATCTCAAAACCATTGATTTGGCGTGGGAACAGGGTGGGAGATCTTGCTAGGAAATTCTGGGAGGGTGTATTTTGATTTAATACTGAAGATTCTCTTTTCCTTCCCTTCATGGTTCTGAACATCTTAACATTTTGGCCTTGATAAGTTCTATCTAAGCTTTTCTTTTCATGTATCTATTTTTTCCAGTTACATTGCATATTCTTTGAAGAAAAAGACCTTTACATTTCCTTTTCTATTCCCACAGCAGGGAGCATTATGGTAATTATGATGTTGTCAGAGCTCAGCAAGTTGGAGTGGAACAGCACTCTGTGCTCTTCGTGCAAAGACTTATGGAATAAGCAAGATCCTTTGCTTTCTCTCACAGAGCCTATGGTCTGTTAGTAGGATATGAAGTACATAAAAATATATCATCAAAAGTATATATGAGCCATGAGGAAGATAAAGCCAAAGTATTAAAAAACTAGGCAGGATAGATCATATAAGGAAAAGCTTCATGAACAGCTTATTCAAGCTAAGTCTGGGGCTAGATGGTGGCGCAGTGGTGAAATGAAGTGCTCTACACGGCTGATCCACATGGAAAGGTTCCAGGTTCACATCCAGAGACCTCTCTGAGTACATCATGTGTGCTCATGATCTGGGGCTGCCTAAGTCTGGGAGTGAATCACAGCATCAGGACACTGTTCGGGATATACTCTTGGTTTCTCTGTCATGGAAGAAATAAATAAATAACCAAAGAAGAAGCAGCAGCAGTAGCAGCAACAGCAGAAGCAGAAGAAGCAGAAGAGGAAGAAGAAAATGCAATTCTCATAGGAGTAGGATTTGAAAAAGTGCCAGTTAAAAGTGTGAGAGGAAAAAGAAAAGACTGTCTTGGACAAAGATTACAACTTGAATGAAAAGGTGCAGGAACGTTCAGTTGATAAGCAGCGTGTTTTCTATTTCAACCATACAACAGAGAAATGGAGAATATATGTAATCCCTGTCCCCTGAGGCTAGATGGTTCTGAATCTGGGCACTTGCGGTGACATCTGGCTCTCTATGCCACCTCTGCCAAGGG